CGACTTGAGGTCAAGCGACAGGGGAAGATCTGAAAGCTGGGGGCGTCCGACTAAATCTCACCGAAGCGATGGTGAGCAGTGCTCAAACCTAAGGCTAGGGACAAGAAAATGTATTAGTTAGTGTAAGGTAAATGAGAGAATACAGGAGCTTACTGACCTAGGGACAAGAGGTCGAAACTGAGGTCCCTAGGGCAGCAGAGGCCGGCTTATATACATGGGGAGATTAGGGCAGGCTGTGCACGTTGGTCCGTGCGCAGCTGGTCTGTGCGCAGCATGCCGACGCGGCCACGGGGGCCGGTGAGTCAGAGCGGCTGTGTCAGCGGGGCCCGAGCTGTGCCGTGCGCTGCCGCCCCATCTAATCTAATCGTACAGTAGATAGTGACGCGTCCATATCAGGCAGGTAGTACAGAGGTCGCGGGTTCGAGCCCACGAAAAGGAAAAAATTAAAAAACGGCTGGACGCCGTACCAAGTCGTGGCAACCTCGTCAAGTGGAAGGGTTATGACGACTCGCACACGTCATGGGAACCGGCGCGCAACGTTGCCAATGCGCCGGCCCTCATAGCCGACTTCCACCGGAAGAATCCAAACACCCCTTGTCGCCTCAACGCTGCTACCTTTGGTGGTCTCAACTTTCAGCCAATGCCTTCGCCGCTGACTGAAGCACGCTGCCGCTCCGGGTGGGAGATGGGCAAGGGCACCTCGCATGAGGTCATGCGCCATTGAGGGGGGGGTAATGTCACAAGTTGGTACGGCGCCTAGCCGTTTTTTAATTTTTCCCTTTTGCGGGCTCAAACCCGCGACCTCTGTACTACATACCCGATATGGACACTTCGTTATCTACTGTACAATCAGATTAGATAGGATGGCAGTGCGCGGCACAGCTTGGGCTCCGCTGACACAGCCGCTCTGACTCACCGGCCCCCGGGGCCGCGTCGGCATGCTGTGCACGGACCAGCTGCGCACGGACCAACGCGCACAGCCTGCCCTTATCTCCCCATGTATATAAGCCGGCCTCTGCTGCCCTAGGGACCTCAGTTTCGACCTCTTGTCCCTAGGTCAGTAAGCTCCCATGTATCCTTACTTACCCTTTACTAACTAATACATTTCTTGTCCCTAGCCTTAGGTTTGAGCGTCGCTCACCATCGCTTCGGTGAGAATCAGTCAAACGCCCCCAGCTCCTTTTAGGTTTTCCCCTGTCGCTAGACCTCAAGTCGCGACAACAAGGGTTAGTGTCTTCCATCACGCTCGTGATTTGTATTGCGTGGGGTGATGGACTCTTGCCAGAACCCTTTTTCAGACACGAACCATAAATGGCGTGCTCCCAGGCACAGTCACGGGCAACCCATTCTTTCACGTAGACAACACATGGTCTGCTGTCAATCTATACGGAAATTAGTCTGCATCATATCCCTGCATCGCTACTTATCAGTCCGGGGCCAGCCTTTCGTTCACGCTGAACAAGACGGTCGGATTTGAGATATACGGCAGTGATGACTGGATGCAAGGCCTATTCACCGTCACAGTGACATCTCCCGGTGGTGAATTCACCATAGTGTCCGTACCAGATAGTACGATCGAATACAGCTCGCGATCGGGTTGGACGGCGCTGAGCCAGCTCAAATACCTCGCAACAGGCCTCGATTGTACACAGACGTACACCGTGGTGGTGAAGAATCTGGGAAATATGTTCAACCTTGCCTCTGTCGTTGTCCACGATGCAGTCCCCAGGTACGTTGCTAGTATATGGAACAAACCGCCTTCAAATACTTATGGCATTTTCCTAGTTCAACTGTATCTGCAAGCAGCTCGTCATCGCGCACGAGCGGGGGACCTATAATGACCGCTGAGACTATAGGCTCGAGACCTGCGTCGCTTGGTAGTGCTGCTGCATCCTCAAGGGCACCAGCACCGAGTCCCGGTACAAGTGCTGAGGCTGGAATTGCGGTATGCCACTGTTTGACTCTTGCATCCAACCTGTACCATACTAAAAAGGGCTCGTCAGGTTGGCGCAGTCATGGGCGTCATACTCCTGCTAGCTGTTGTACTCTGTCTTTGGCGCAGGAGGGAATTGACAGGTGAACGCAACCACCCCCCATCGCCTGATACTCGTACGTTGCGCCATAGTGGACAACATCTATCCTCTGCCGCTGGAGACGAATCACAAACGAGTCCACGGCCTTATCCACTCTTCCAGCCTGACACGACACCAGTCAGGTTGAAGTCGTCCCCGTTGCTACGTTTGACAGCCTTTCCGAGCTCCAGCGGAAATATACATGCACCACCTGTGGAACATACGCCCGCTCCACTGATTCAGAGTCCGGTAGTGGATATAGGAGTCCACGATACGGCTGGCCCCAATATCTACGAACAAGACGCTGGTCCGCTGGTCCTGCCTCCGAGGTACGATGAAGCGTGGGCTGATCGTGCTCGCAACCCGCGACAGCAGGTACAGAATAAGCAGAATAACTTTCAGGGAACGCACTAGTCTTTGGAATATGGACACTTCAGTTATGCTTGTCCGTTCTATATATATCTTGAAAATGCAACAGCATTTGCGACGATCTTGACCCTGCCACTTGTGTCGAGAGTTGTGCAAAGGAGAATGGCAGTGGAAAGCATGAGGTAAAATGGTTTGCAGAAACATTTCCTATGTGGCGCTGCACAACACGAAGTACTCAACTGCCGTGCAGAACAACGTGAGCTCAGCAGCTCTTTGTGCGTCTATGGGTTTGAAGCCACAGCGTGCATTCGATCTAATAGTCACAGATTAGCGGAACCTCGAACTTACGTCAGACGCTACGCACGCAATACATACCGCGTTCGGGTACCTTGCGGAATGACAACAATGTCAGTATTGACAAGCAATGGGACATGCTAGGTCATATGGGATAGCACACTAGAGGCCAGGTCGGCGAGCCACGTTTCGTACCGTGTATGTTCTGTCAGGCAGTTTGAAGGCCTGATTTGTGGAAGCGATTGAATCATACTGTACAGCTGCAAAAACTACTGTCTGGCATAGTCTGAAAATGTGATCGCGTTAATTCTAACCGAGCATCCCGCATCAAAGAAATACAGGAAGATTATACCATGATTTGCAATACATAAAACTATTCTGTTTAGTAAGTGACGAGTTCTATGCGAGAGCAGTTAGGATGAAGCGCGTAAAGTGGAATGACTCAGATAGCGTACAGCCTGAGTTTGCCCTTCGTATGGTGTGGTGGATAGCATGACGCTCTTACAATGAAGTTGGCATTAGCTATGACGTCTTCGCATTTGAGAATGTGCTTTCTCGAAGAATGAACTCGAGAGTCGACCTGTGAGTCGAGATGACCATGCAGAAGATATGAAAAGGGCAGCAACAAGCCTCGACCGTCCTGATGCATTTCGGTTTACTTCAAGATGCACCAATTTATCAATAGCGAGCAGATGGACTTTGGCTATTTGAAAAAGTCCCCAGAGGATTTGCGTGTAGCTGAACGAAGAGACTGTAGCCTAGCTGCTCGTTTGCGTCAATATCTTCGAAGGAGACTGTGAGATCGCCGTTGAATGTCGTACCCGCTAAGTCACAACCTGCTCAAGTGCCGACGTGTATCTTAGAAGCAGCACATATGCCCTCCAATGGGCGACAAAGCTATCTACGCAATACGGGAGTCTCACTGGTGTTTTTGAGAATTTTTTTGTGCTCCGGGTAGTTCGTGCAATAGTACAACATCTGACCGATTGTAATGCTGTGAAGGCTGTCTCGTACGTAGAGCGATCAAAGGATGTATGGCACCATAGACGCTGCACGCACATTGATCCGAAAAGAATTCCGATAAACCCGCAGCCAAGCGCGTGGTTGAGGTCAAAGATTAGGCTGGAGGATGGCCGAGCAGAGATGATATCTGGATGGTGTATCGAACGTTCCCCTAAGCGCCCCACAAGACGAGAACAGCGATCAGCGCAGTGTGACAACAGAGAACAGGCATACGATGTATATCGCCCGTGTCATCAACTATGTGTGATTGTCTGCAGATGGCACGGCACCACACAATACACGGGCGAAGTGATCCTATGATACCGTCAGTAGATGCGAACCACGACGGCATGCACACAGAAACTCGGGCGAGATGGAGAAATGAGTTCCAAAGTGAATGCCGAGTGGTAACTCAGGTATACCATGCCGAGCTTGAGTAGCATAGTCTCACTCGCAGCCGTACAGTCCCACCGGAGGTAGCCGAACGTATAAGGCGCACTGACGTATACCTCGTGCTCCAAAACATGTCGTCTGCCGTGCTCGAGTGGCTCTGCTACTGCCGGTAGCAGCCAGCAGTCACACTCTGAAGTCACGCAGCTTCTACGGGCTGACACAGACAGTGCGATGAAATCCTCACGCGCGTAGCGGCAGAATGCGTAGCGTGTGGAATCCATACTGACTACGCAAAGTGGTTTGAATCTGAGACACCCAGACGCGAGACCCATTGAGTGCAGCTGGGTAGCATGGCTTGCGACCGTCGTATATCGTGCATTCAAAGATACCTGTCGCTCCTACTTAGCTTATGTGTTACTTGGGGTGACATCTACTCCTGAAAGTGCATCTCCGTTAGCGCAGAGTACAGACGAGCCGAAAATCACAGAGTAAACACGAATCCCACAAGACCCAACCATTTCCGCGCTCTTTTTCAAGGCAGTATACGCCTCCGACTCGGAGTCCAGCATGCAGATCTTGAAGGCGTCTGTAAACTTGTCAAGCCGCCATATTGTCCAAATCGGGCAAAGTCAGGGGCGCTCGTTCCCGCGCGTCTCTCGTCCCCGCCGCTCCCTCTGACCTCTAACTTCCATCACCCTCTGGCAGCTCTGAGTCATTCGACTTTTCAGCAGCGATGCAAAGCGCTATAGCTAACAATGACGACACTGCTTCCTCCACGTATGTTTCTATTGCCGACAAGAGCGACGACGACCCGCATCCATAACTCGTCGAGGCGTCGCTACCTGCAGTCCCGGGGCGCGCAGAGGTTCCCTCTTACAGCACACCCGCGGAGTCTTTCGTATCTCGGCAGGACACACCTGTCCCAGCTGCGGAACCCGAGTCTCACCGGGGCGACTCAGTGTCGCGACGACGCGACGGGACATGGGACACTCGCGACTCTGCTCTGGGCGACTCTCACTTCGACTCTCTTGACGCAGCAGAGACCATTAAGCTATCAAGCTAGTGGAGGATGCTGACCGGCTCCCTGTGTCTGATGACGCGGGCAAGGCCTCTCAGGAGGAGCGTGAGGAGCGTGAGGGACTGCCAGCTAAGTCGCCTCTCCACTTGTCCTGTTGACATCATGCAGTGTTTGCTCGCAGCAGGGCGAAGTGGGCTCTCCACACGTGCAGTGAGCGGTAGTACGGTCCTACACCTATTTGCAGGGCGGATGTCAGCGCGATGGCGCGTGACCCAGTCGCGGGCACGTCGCTGGAGATTCGACAGTACATTACTCGTACCTGCAGCCGGAAACTGGCCTATTGCGGGTGAAGCGCTGCAGCAGATGCACGCCTCGGACCCCGAGGATCTCGTGGTCAAATTGAGATATGCTGTGGACGATTGCTGTGCACGCTTGACGGGCCACCTACGACCTCATGGCATTTTGGTCATTGGCGGATACAGGAGGTGCGTGTGCTCTGTTGACTTTGTATACGCCCAGGTGCTCAGATGTTGTGAACCTTCAGAGGGTATTCGGATGCTCGAGGACGCGATCAAGTTATCGCCGTCTACGACACTGCAAGGAGAGCGGCTTTTGTTCAATTTATGTGAGCGGCCTACTCTATTGTAGCACGGACGCCAGCCAACTGTCACCCCAAGTGAAGGTTTCCAGAAAGGTTAATAATGAGACAAAGTATATCATACCATCCGGTGGTGAATATGGGATGTCATTGTGCGATGACTTATATGCAGGCCTGCAATCGGGCGCATGGACCGTTAAGTTATGAGCGCAATGCGGGTCGTCGGGGGCCGTTCAACAAGCCAATCGGAGCTTCGTGGCTCTACTAGACACGGTCAATTCTTGATCATGCTGTTCACTCAGTTTGCCTGATTCGCTTAATACGAACGTTCTAGTGAGCGCTGAGCATCGCCTTTGCTATTATTTGTCAAGTTAATCTCACCCAAAGGTTCTCCTTGTCCCTCCTCGTTTAGTGTAGGCAACAATTTGTTGTAATCTAAGTTGTAGCTAGGTGATAACATTAGAGAGTAAGCGCACAGCGTAGCGGGGTACGTACGAGCATCCAAGCTCACGCGCTCAAGTGTAGCATCTGAAATAGATCATTTCCAATTTGAGCATATCATTCTGAATACATTGTTGAATTAAGCGTAACGCCTTTTTAGCCTATAGCTAAATGGTTAGTACTTCTACCACTTGATGATAACCAGTCTACGCTAGCGTCATTCAACTGTTTCTTATTATCTTCGAAGACTACTAGTTCTTGCTGACGACACTGATCTGCTCCGAGCGCGCGCATCGTCGAATCCCCGACATCATGCTCTCGCGTATGCATGCTACTCCATTTGTGCCATCTGCGGAACAAGAAAGATAGTATGATGCGGCCGTACAAAGTTACGACTCAAAATCTAATTCCAAGCACGTCGAAGACAAGTACTGAAGCTAGCTTTGTGCCTCGCTATCACCAACGACTGTTCGTGCGCAGATGCACATCAGTCACCCTTGCAGGCTGCTAGGTATGTACTTCATACTTCCGTGTTCGTCTGCGGTGCTTCCTCCTTCACCTGTCATCTTGAACTGTGTGCTGTACTCCGTGGCTTTCAGTGTCTTTCAGGCATCCCGGCATTGTTTAGCTACCGCGCCGACGCGCTGGCCGCTGTCCTCCGAATTAGGTTCGACGACTGTCGACAGTGCAGACGGTGCTGTATCCACGGTTTCGCTCCAAGTTTTACTATATTGGGCACAGGCTACATCAGGGAAACACAGTGTCCACCAGTCAGTGTCATTGACCATGTCGTTTTTGACTGCAATGCGCTCTCGGAATATGCTTCTGCCCATGAGCACGGCGATTGTAAGACACAGAGACTAATCTCCTTGATATCCTCGACAGAGTCAAGGTACACGAATACATCTGGACTCGTAGATTATCCATATAATCAGTGATGCGGTCAGGCTGTGGTTTTGCTCTCCCAGAACGGCCCCGTAAATCTAGAAACTTGGTCATAGAAATACCCTTTCTCGTCCTCATATCTACTGCGCACACGTATGTATGTTCTCAAAAGTTGAGAAACAAGATCCTCAACATCTGGCTCCCCACGCAGCCGGCGAGCGAGCGCGTCACCCACCACACAGCCCATCTTCATGGCCGTGATCATGCCCTGCGACGACAGCGGGTCAAATGCCATCGCGGCGTCCCCAACCGCGAGCCACCCATGCGTCAGCCGATCCTCCATCGGGGGTACCAGATGTGACGATCCTGCCGCTGTGCATCCTGGTCGTGGTTCCTTTCCGTGGCCCTCCGCAACTGCCTCGTACCCGTGCTCAGCAATCACCCGTGAGATGTATTTCGTCTCATCCAGGAGCGCCAGAAAGCCTGCCTGCTTGCGTGCGAGCTTGGCTGATGCGTCATCGTCGTTTGTATGATACACTACGACGCGGCGGCCTCTGGGTAGCTGTGCCGTGTACCACCATCCCGCTGTGGCTGCCTCGATCACGGTCCGACCATCGTGATCATGCTGAGTCGACGCCGTAGCGCTGAACAGCATGTGGAACGCGAGCAACGCGTCCGTCTTGATCGTCTTCGCACCGAGCTGAGACATGCTTCAGCATACGCGGACTAGGGAAGGGTGATATAGCCTCGCGCACCTTTCGTGCGACAGAAGCCTTCCTGCCTGACGCGTCAACCAGCCACTTGGCGCGGTACGTGTCGGTCTCGCCCGAACCATACCGTCTCACATATACTATCCAGCCTTGGTACTCTGGCGCTTCTGTCTTTTCGACCTTGTTGAATACGCCATGCACCACTGTGCACTGTGAGCCTGCTGTGGTGCCTGCGACAGCATCACGCAGACACTGGTCGAATCGCGCGCGGTCTAGATGGAGCCCCATTCCAAACGGGTTAGAGACGGCGTATGTCTCCCGCAGGTCCGGTGTTTCCCACGCGGACGCGTTCCCCGAGCAGGGCATATGTACACCCTCGGCGATATCCTTCGTGAAGTCTGTGTACAATGTAGGTGAAAGGTACACAAGCATGTTCTTAGCGTCCGCCGGGAGTGACTCCCCGATCTGGAGTAGCGCGACGATCCATCAATAGACACACATCAGCGAGATGTGGGTGTGGGGAAGACACAGCATTAGAGATGCTCACCTTGAAGGCGGCAGGATCTGCATCGTCTAGAAGTAGAGTTGTGACATCCGGGTTGGACTTTCGAAGAGACAAGGCTGCGGCACAACCTGCTGGGCCGCCTCCGACGATGATTACTGAGGACACGATGCGTAAGCATAGATGGCAAAAAGCGCTTTATGGTGAGTTCACCATCATAGCCACTAGCATGCGAATGCGTACTCATAGTCAATACCAGAGAGGGGCGCAGTGGGCAGAGACAATTGGGATGGCAGTCGGGGCATATATATATATACATATAATGCATTAGCACGTGTTTTGAGGGAAAATCCTAGGCACGGTGCCACTTAAGATCGGTCTCTAGCTCTCAGGGGAAGCGCATATGCATGACCTGGGGCGTTGTTTCCTATATAGAGCCTAGCCGAATGCAATTGTACTTGTATATTTACACAGGTAATGCTCATTCATAGCAAACGATCCTTGAGGTTCGCTTATACCAACGCATATATGCATGTGACGATTGTATATACGATGCTCAAGTCTCAGTCGGATAAGATGCGCGCTCGATGCTGAACCTCACCAACTCTAACCCGCGTTTCTGTACTACGCTCGCAGCTGCTATCGCCGCATCCAAGTGCGTCCTGATTGCGCCCCACAGCTCGACGCCCGCCTTGTCCGTATTGTTTTCCCCGGCCGATGTCTCGTAGAAGTTGAATGTGGGCGCAGCATTCTCCTCGTCCGTGAGCTTTTGCTGGACGAGCTCGCCCGCCAAGGGGTTTAGGATGTCGAGCATAATGGGGTGAATGTTCCGGATCAGCTTCCTTCGGCGAAGTGAATCCGCAGTCTGCCAAGCTGCCTCAATTATGACGAGCAAGTAACAGTATGCAGCGTCGAAAGCGCGCGAGAGCTGCGTCGAGACATGCGTCGACATCAATGTACGAGCGCATCAGAACACGTGCGGACGCACCTGGTAGATGTACTCATTGCCCTTATACTTCTCCGTCGAAGGCGAGGCAGTGACGGGCCAGCAGGTCCAAGTCTTCCGTTTCTGATATAGCTCGAGGAAGAGCTGGTAGTGCGCTTCGGGGTACCCAACGGTGCCCTCACCCTGATTGATGATTGTGTCGATGGCCTGGTGAGCGGCCGCGTGATCCGTAATCTGAACCATCATGCCGTCAAAGAATTCTGCACCGCTAAACTGTCTTTCCTTATTGCTGAATTTAATCTTGTCTTTGCTGAGCTTGATTTCTGTGTAAAGAATTGCTAGTCAGGGCGCTAACCGCCGCGTCTCTGTGTGCGGGGTATGACTCACGCTCTTCGAGGTCACGGTAGAACTCCCCGATGCTGTTGTATTCTTCCAATTCTGCGTGCACCGTCCCAGGCTTGACCATCAGCTTGAGATCAGCTGATTCCTCTTCAGGGCTGAGCTCTGGAAATGGCTCATACGGAGCTTCGATCTGCCCACATACATGAGTACTACGACGGAAGGTAGCACGACATCTAGTGTCTGACCTGCAAAAACCGCTGCAATGCGTTCTTTTTGCAGCGTTCGAGCTTCAGAGGTATCTTTGTCCGGAGAACGGTGTCGGTATCACCTCCATACGTCGGAATATAGTCCTTGGCATAGAGCGTGGGTCCCCTCGTGTCGATGGCCGTGATAAGATTCCCAGCCAGCGCCATGTGTAGCATCTCTTGCTTCACAACGACTGCCGCACATTAGGTCAGGCGGTCACTGCTCAGGATATGCCTTACCTGCGATCTGGCTTTTCGCTCGCACACCGGAGCCGTCATCCTTCGTGAGATCAATGCTATACATGGAGAAAAGATATAACTGGCAGCGGTCGGACGAACATGAGCAAATATGAGTATCTGCCCTGTAAACATACATACGGGGATGGTCGTGAGCTCGACACGCAGTGCGTCTCGCAGCATGGTTAAGAGGCCTGGCTTGCCAGCAAAGATGCCGTTAACAGTGACCTTTGAGCAGGATATGATAGGCCCGGCGGTCATCTTGGGAGAATGGGCCTGTATGTCGAGTCGCAGTGGACTCAGCGCCGTGTTGTGAAGACTGGGAGTCTACGTTGAAACGATTTACGAGTTCACACACCTCGTCCGATTTAATATCACTGGCAGATTGAAACGAATAAGTCACAAGTCACGAACTGCATGATATCTCGTATATTTGGGTGCACGAATCGAGCGCTCACCTCAAGGGACTTGGCTTCGGATTAGGGCCAAGTCCCGCCTGTTCCCCGCAGAATTGTTTTCCAGTGGCTTCCAAGCTCTATGTGGGCCTTTCAAGCCATCACGGATCATAAATGTCCCCGAGATATCAGATCACGATATCAGGACACCCTAGATGGGGAGTGTATTGTATTTCGTAGCTCTTCCATGACTCTGTCATGTCAGGTTCGCTGCCCAATGTCCAGGATGAGAGCGATCGCCACCTCGCACATGTGTGAGGCGTGCGTGCAACATGAGCCACTCACATTTACTGCGGACAGGACCCATTATTCGGGGCCCGGATACATTTTCTGGTAGGTGTGCCCCTACTCCGGAAATTGCGCGCACGTAGGATAATGGCACCTTCTGTGAAGAAAGTACAATCTGGACTTCAATCGAAAACGTCAACCCTGCCGGACTTCGTGCGAATCGTGCCCGGGCTCCGGGAAATGGGTCCTGCCCGCGAGATCTCGCGGATGAGTGATCAATTACAAATTCATAAAATATTCCTATTTGAGGAAGAACGCGAAGTTCCAAAAGTTGCAAAGAGAGGATGTCTTTTGCGACCACCAATACAGCGATGTTTTCGCATGAAGAGACATTGACCACAATGGAATCATGTTCCTGGTATAAAAAGGCCAATGCATATGGCCGCATCGGCTAGACGAGGTTCCATTCCATCAAGGTGAGCTCCGTTGCTTCTGTTACGAAAGTCGAAAGGCCCTATTGTCCCGCAGCAGCAAATCATTCCCAAGAATGTCAGACCAAGCGCTGTAATCGTAAGCTAGCCGCAGCGGATATAGTTATGAGTGGACACATCCCTGGAAGCACTTTGGCCTCGTGGGGGGATCTAGCAATACAGCATTGCCTTGGGTCGGTTACAGCGTCCGGCTTGGACTCATCGTTGAACAGATAGTGCGCTCACCTTTTTGGACCTAAAAGGTCTTTATCTTGAGAATACGTCAATAAGAAAGTGTATTCACACTGGAGAACGTCCTGCTAGCATAGCTAAAGCACGCCCTTTCACCGCGGTGTAGATATTCACGTGCCTTACATTGTCTTGACGCCAATGTCTCGGTCTGCGGTCTTCAAGCTCATACTTACTTCCTGAGGCTACTTCGTGCATATCCTTATCGGCTGAGGCGGTGCCAAAATGCATCAATATCTAGGGTCGGATCACTTTGCGTAAAATGACAAGTACTGTGAGCATATAAGGAAGGTCGCAGACGACATTCAGTTCTGCATATCAAGAATCACAATAGACATGCTCCATGCACGATGTTGTGAGTGCATCCGAGATTGTGGGTTGAGTAAAACCTTCCGTATCAGGGTCTCTCAAGATATCTTCCGGGATGCTCAGGTGATGTTCTTTTGCCTATTCCTGTTGTGTCACCGTGTCTTGTAAATGTTGAAATTTCATTTTAGATGTCTTGGAAGCTGGCATAAGTGTAGCCGATCAGACGTTCGTGAACCCTAGGCCTAAGAGTGTACCTGAACACACGTGTTCTGCTCCTTCCGTTTGCTCCGAACGTCTTACAGAATTGGATGAGCTGTCTTGACCTCGATGTCGATATGGAATATCAGGATAGAAGCAATTTGTGAGTACATGACTCGTGTCTGTGACTCTTTGTTCTGTGACTCCAGTAGGTCTCCTTGCTTAAATACGGGGAACGTGATGCCGCGGTATGCATGTCCAATCTTGACCCATTATGAGTGCAGGAACGACGCTGCTGTTCAACGCTCAAGACGTCTCCCGCATAGAAATCTACCCCCCGATTGGCATTGCTCGTGTTGGTGACTCCGGTTTTGACCTTGTTACTGGTGTTACTCGTGGAGAGCCGCAATACTTCTTTCCGCCCGAAGTTCCAGGGCACGATCAGTTCCCTCCCGGCGACCTTGTGAACGGTGCGTTCAGGGACAGCTCGCAGCGCATCAAGAGACAAGTAAGTGCACAATTCAACGTTCCACTCTATCTTCATCTCTGAATATTGTTATACGCAGGCCGTCGTCTTTCATGTGTATGCGTTCAATAAGAATAATGAGATACTCGGGGAGGTACATCCCGGATCCGGTGTTACCATAACCTGGACAGTCCATGTAGTGAATTCAAAGCCATCGTTCTTCAAATTCAGAGGTATCTGTGCTATTCTGGGCGCGCATCCGCATTTTGAGCTCAACCTCATACAGGAAAGTATAGGACGCCATCTACAGAGCTACGAAACCCCGATGTGCAGCCTGACGTATGTCCCGCTTCCACTACTCGACGGAGATGACAGGATGCTCAGATTGCACACAGAAAGATCCTGACCAGCGGGACAGGCTGATCGTCGATCCAGGTCAGCTATCAATCACTGTCGAAGCAACTGGCAAGATGAAGAACAGCTGGTTCCCTATCACTGGATCATTCTATGGCTCGCAAGCGACACCAACCTTAGTATCCCTGGGTCAGATCTCTACAGACGACAAAGGACGCCTCATTTTCGTTGCAGGGGCAGGCTACTCGCGTTGTGTGTCGGAACCCAAACAGCCTCACTTCCAGCCCGACATCATCTCCGAGTTTGACAGCATTGACTGGGTCGATGACGTCTGCGACGGCTGGGTCGACGCCGCAGTCACATACACGAGCATGACCAGGACGGGGGTGAAGATGCTTTCCGTCCAGGCCCGGAAGGCGACCGTGATGAGTGCGCCCCCAAAGTTCGCGTGGGGCGTCCATGCGCCGACCACGCTATATGATATAATCGAAGACATCTACGTTGAAGCGAAGGGATGGAAAGCGCCCAGCACAGTGCAGTTTTACGAGCACATCTGGCCTGCACTGGGAGGGACGTATGAACTATCTTGGGTCAATCAGCAGGCGTTCCAGGGTCACGGTAGGCCATATTCTGGCTGACTGGCAGAGACTATTCTCACTGCGTTCCAGGGCCCGCCGGGATGGGCAACTTCATCCCGCTTGAGGGGGACCTCGCTAGCAAAGACGCTAGCCATGATAAGCTTCGGAGGGAGGTATTTAAACGTCTCAGGAAGCCTCAGTATGAGGATCCTGCGCAGGCTTCGACTATGTACATGCCACGCCTCTCTGGAGATGAGTGAGCGAACATTACTTCTACATATGCGATAGCATCGTGCTGACTGCATGTCGAGTGGCGACGCAATTGAGCCTGGGCAGGTCATTCCCTCGACGGGCGTCCCCATCAAGCGCTTTTCCGCCCTCACGGGCTTGCAGTATTCGCGCTTCGAGAAGTGGGCAGCCGGAACCTTCAGCGCTGACCCGCCCCGGTGGAAAGACTACGAGTCCATTGAGAAGGTTCCACTGCAGCTGCAGCCTCTCGCGCTCACTCTCGCGGCCCTCGAACACTCGACGGGTGATCCTCTGTACCCAGGGCTCGAGACGTACTGGATCGCAAAGGATCCAAGCATATACTCGTCAGACGTCCTATCCTTGCAGGTAAGTCTTTCGCTGGTCTGCGCCGTCACATTGAACAAACATGGCACAGAGTGCCACCATCCCACCCTTCCGTATAGACTACACGAAGGTTAAACCAGGCCATCTTTCGCGTGGACTCAGCCTCCCGTGGCAGAGCGACTTTTCTTTGTGCGAAACGCATTGGTGAGCTTCGCGATAAGTTGTATGAATCTCGCCTAAATAACTCTCTGCCGAGGCAGGTGGCCTTCTGGTCGCCCAGATGATGTCATTAACATCCTCGACTGGCAACGCGTGCTTGGGCACGGAACCTCAGTGTCGATGCGGGACTTTGTTGATAAGGTGTCACCTTTGCGGAAGAAATGGGCCCGCGGCCTTCGTGAGACTCCAGACTGTGAGTGCATGTCGATCTCGGACTGTTAGACGATTATTGACATAGCCGTCGTTTTCACTGGGAACAGACCCGCAAGACTATTACCCAGGCAGCACAGACATGGTGCATCAATGGCAAAACCTTGGTTTCATTAAGCAGAAGGACTATAAAGTTACCGACGGAACAACATCGCTCGCTGTGTGGCTCGAGGAGGAGCGATGCCGAATTCAGGAGCGGACGGAAGGCACAACAAGACTGGCTTCCGGTTTTGATGACGATGATTGATTGCAAATTGATACATCTTGCTATGTCCCCCAACATACTCTGTTCGGCTGCCGCATGCAAGTTCTATGACAGACCCTGTACTTCCTTCATGCTCGATATCCCTTGGTTTTGTACATGACATGAAATGCCGGAGACGTGCAAGCAAAGTGATACAACTGCTTTTAAGACAATATGATAAGGAACGCCGACCGTCGGGCTCTAGTGTATGTCATAAAAATAATCTATTCAGCTCGTATAACTACATATGCATTGAGACGTGTTGCTCGGTATCCACCGGCAACTCAAGCTCTAGACTCGGCCGTTTACCAGTCGTTGCGCGCAAAAGGACTGGGCAATGGTCGTTGGTCGCGACAACGTTTCATATACAGACCTTCAGGTAAGCTGGCTGTCAAGGGTCCGCGTGGAAAGTTATGAATGCTTCACTCCCCTAAGTCATGGCGCTTTTCGGTCATAATATGCCTTGTTACCCCGTGGGTATTCGTGATAGTTAACAGTGCCTTGCAGTAAGCTGTCGTACAGCTCGACCAATATCTCACCTTTGGAGAGGGCAAGTGGCTTGAGTGGTGTGTACGCAGAAGGAGGCCTCGACTGTATAACTAACGTGCGGGATTGTATTAGGGTAATCGGCTACCTCCCCCATCTGGAGTGTTCAAAATTGCCGCTTAAATATCATTAAAAAAGAGTATCCGCTGCTTTTGATGGTGGCGGCCGTGCGGGGATGACTATGCGTAGGAGTATGTTTGTATGAGATGAGGAAGAGCGAGAAAGAGCTAGGAATGGGCAGAATTTGAGATACTAGAGGAGTGCACGAGGTAGGCAGGCGAAAGTAGCAGGTCGAGTTGGAAATGAAGGCCAGGTATCATAATAACTCACTAACTCGTAACGGCTGGTACGCCGCTGCTTGTACACCGCCTTTTCCCAAAGACAGGCTTTTGGCGTTCTGCTCGAGGCACGGTATGCAAAGCCTTTGGAAATGCAAAATCGGCTTTCCGTCAACAACAGTGTGTTCGAACATTGACCTTGACATCGCGCACACTACGATGCGAGTTGAATCGGATCACGACCAAGCTACTGTAATGACGCAGCAATGATGCGGGAAAGCCTGAGACGACATCACGCTCCATGGTAAGGCTGAAGGCCTGTCCGCGATGTCCGCGGACGGGGTTAATGTGTACGTGATGGCATAATATGAGCATGTATTTGGCGTGAATATTCAGAGTGAATAACGGGGAGACAGTAGCAGAGCGTTCACACAAGAGGTCAAAGGGATACCCGCACTTTTCGAGGCCGTTGAGAGGGCCACATCAACGATGAAATAAACGCTCTCAGAAGCGTGTAGTTGCACGGCTAAGACAGGGAGAGGACGTGCGAAAGAAAATAGGAAATGCCACCGCATGCACAACGTGAAGAGTGTCTCATAGAATCACATGAGCGTACTCACCGAGTTTCAACAGCGCCTGATACCAAAAAAGTCGTATGTAGGCGGTGAGTGAAGACCATTCCGCATGCGCTCAATTAGTAGGAGCAAACAGGCAGAGTACTAGGGTTCATGAGAGAGCATGGGAGATGAATGCAGCCAGGATGCGCCAATCCTGCAGTGACGCCGTGCAGTCCTGGGTTTTCGATGACAATAGACTAAGGTAGAGGCGCACTGTATAGCTGAGGCACTGCGTGATGCTGTGCTAGAAGCCGACATCGCTTCACGTTGCATCTAGTACCGCTCATGTGCAATGGAGCGTCAACCCAAAATTAAGGCCGAAGCCCGTCTCCTCCAAGAGCCTCCTAGGCGGCGGTAAGAGGTTATCTACCCCGTATTCCAAATTGGGCATCTTTCAAAGTCCGCACGTCTCCGAGTCGCAACAGCAGCGGCCGTTCATCATATCGTCCGACCTCATCCCCGTCATTGAATTTCTCGAAGTGCATTGGGCTACAGTGACCATGAAGTTGCTTGTTATTCAATAACTCACAAGAACGACTAGCCAAAGCTCGTGGAATAATCGCTATCCGCAGTCCTGGAGCACGCACAGATCCCTAGCACACGCATTTGCCACAGCCGCAAAATCCTAGTCTTACCAGGCCGACTCTGTCACAGAACGCGTTAGAGGCAACTGACGACGTAGCTGTGTGGGGCACTTGCGACTCTACTCTCAATGTCTCTTGCTTCGGCTTTTCCGATGCAGTAGAGACCACTTAGCCAGCGCTGGATGCCGACCCGTTCCTTGTGCCCGATCACGCACACGAGGTCTCCCTCCCAGGAAAAGGCTAGTCGACTGACTTACTTGTGGGCTTGTCAGTTGACACAACACAGCAGTCGCTCGCGCAAGCAAACGGGGTGCCCCGGCTCAAGCATTCTCGCCCTCAGACCCGACGCTCAACGTCGACAAGCCGCCATCTCCTCTATCACCAAAGTCAGAGAGCGACGACGGAACAGAAGTAATCCGTGACTCGGTGGGTCGAGTCTTCCCACAGTTCACCACCCGATTTCAAATGTACGCTCTCACCTATTCTATATTCTGACCTGGTGGCCACGTCGACAGGCTATTTGTTACCTCTCTATGGTTAGACGCACCCTTTGCGTCTGTTCAAATATATCTCTCACTCGCCAAAAAAGTGGACCGCATGAGACCTAAGCGGCAAGCGGGACAGAGCGGACTCGACGCCTTTGTCGTGAGTGGTTTTGTGAGAAGACATGAGATTGATCGAAGTGTGCAGGTTGTCTGTGAGTGCGGCTGCAGAGGGTCAAGCGCGACACCGCAAAGAACTCTGCCGTGGTTCCTAGTACATCCGGCTCTCCTGTCTCGCACATCTGCAATTCTGCAACCAGACGTCCACTCAATCTACACGGTTCTGGAGGGCGTCAAGACTGCGAAAGCACAACAGTAGGCGTCCCACAAGAAGCTGCCGTCAAACCTGGAGGTGCTGCACGCACGGCTGAAGTATTGGGCGGGTGACTACATGGGGTATCCCAACGCGCTCGCTGGGCTGCTGAAGCAGTGCCAGGCGATGGCGCGGTAGCGAGGACTTCAGCGCCGCGGAGATGTAGCAGGAGCGTGGCGCGCGGATATGCCTCATCATCGTGTCGCGGCTCGTCGAGACGCATCAAGTCGCCTACTGTGCGGGTGCGGACAACGCGGGGCACCTACTAGAATTGCTCTGCAAACAGAATGATGTGAGCTCGCCGCACAACCAGTCCGAGATGACGTCGATGTCTTTCCAGGTCAGATATACCGGGCGCCGTGGCGCGCAGCCGGGCCGCGGGCACGTCGCTGAAGGCACTCAGCAGCGCATTGCTCACGTCTACATACGACGACTGGCCTGCTGCGGTAGAGCGCTGCAGTGCAGTGCTGTGGATGGCTTCTGTACGTTGCTTAAGCAGGAGTGAATCTGTGAACGGCCTATCCTATCGTGATACGAACACTGGCTGATTGACACTCCAAGGAACGGTGTATGAGCTGGGCTGGATAGCGCCGATCGAGAAGAAAATGGCGATAGCTTGTGCACAACTTGTTTGAGGGCGTCTGCCCGTTAGACTCACATTGTACTTGCGAGTTCATGATACCACGCAAAACTGTATACTAGTATGCTTTTGGAAAATACGGACATGGCAATGGACGATGCGTGTCTTCGTGCAGGACATTCTCGGATAAATCGTCATTGGTTGTACACTGAACTACTGCGGTTATAGGGATCCAGTTTGCGTAAGTTTGTGTATGATGAGATGAGCGGGAGCAGACCAGTGGTATAGTACCAAAACGTGACCGGTGCGAACAGTGCATGCTGCGTGGAGACAGGAAACTGAACAGAAGCGAATTTATACATGATTTATACATGTAGAGGGGTCCTAGGGAACAAGAATAAGGTGCACAAGTGAAAATGAAAGTCTAACGGCGCATGCGATGAAGTCACTGCGCCAGCCTCGGGGCTTCCTGGGCCGCTTGTGCGCGTTCATCGTGCTTGTCCATGTTCCTGCCTGCTCTCATCGCTTGTGGTAGATTCCAACCCTCACTAGTCTACAGCCACAACACGCTATCATGAATAACTGCCTACGCCCAGTGGGTAGTGGTTCCAGCGCTCTGCAATGCTTCTCCTCTGCACGACCAACGACTCGCACTCTAGTTTAGCAGGTCCTCCACTTCGTGTCTATCCGAGCCTTTGCGCTCTCCATCACATTATCGCTAGCGGCCACCACGCAACAACGAGCCAAGGTCGGGTTGCGATGGACGAGTGAAGCATCCCTCCCGGCCGGCCGAGGTCGCCCTTGGAGCTGGTGTGCGCGGGCGAAGGACTCGTTTGTGTCGGATTGCGACATACTGCGCACGCTGATGGAGTGGACGAGGATGAGGCGCGGCTCGAGCGCGAGATGAGCGGAAGTTGAATTGACATGGAGTCGTTGCCGTGAGTACTCGGTTCTGTGGTGTGGTTGCTGATGCACAATAGGAGTCTGATGTTATGCGGTGGCCAAGTGGCTAACTCCAAAGTCACACTTGCCGCCGCTGGCGTCGCGTATGGGCACACAATCGTTGTCCAATGGTAGCCGCTGAGCATAGCAACAACTGGTGAGTACCTGACACACTCGTGCGCTGTACCCAGCTAAAGCATCGCTGTAGTCGAATCCGTCATGACTAAATAGAGGCCATGCCGTCGTCGTTTTGCTCACCCCACCCTCTCTCGCCCTCTCTGCAGCGCGACCAGCCTCAAAACCCTTGCCGAAGGCTGGCCTTGTGCACTGGACGCTAGCCCCTCCTGTCATCTCGAACAGGATAATCTCGTCCACCGCTGGTGTTCCCTCCCGCATGTCTGTCTCCTCGCTAGATCGACGTCTTCCGGATTACTTTTAGGACACTAGACTATATCCACGAGCAGAAGGAGACACTTGAGTTCACATCGTCAAGGTCTAGCACCAGCACACCAGCGTACCCATGTCCGTCACTCTCACTGGACACGAGCCCGGATCGTCTCCCATCCTTGGCTAGCGGAATGGGCGAACGATGCAGCGCTTAAAGTCGGGCGCTGAGCCTGCGTTCATCGGCCGGTCAGATAGTGGTGGAGGCATCTTTGCCACCACGCCTCGTTGTCATCAGCGCGGATGCCCATCGGCAGCGCAATCACTCAAACTGACACAAGTTCACGTCCAGGCTGCCACTCCGTCTGCAGTGGGCGTCTCGTGGGACATGTTGGGTTAGTCGGTGTCCTGCTGTTCTCATATTGTTCAGGGTTAGGACGAAGGACGGAGCATATGCATGGTATGTTCTACGTTGCCGCCTTTCCTTACAGTGTCGGCGCGCCCCATCATTGCGCTGACGGCCGTCGCATCTGACAGGATCTGGCATGCTCACCCGCAAGCGGATATCTGATATTTATCATTTTGACGCCTCAAGGATCTCAAGGGCACGGGGCATCTCATCTGTTCTCGTCTCTGTCAGATCGTGTTCCTACACGGTCGCCTGCGCAGCCCCGGCAGGCGGCAGGGACGAATTTTCTCTTCCTGGCGGCCTTCTCTCGATGCGTATTACTTATGACGTCGCGTCAGTCTATGACATACGAGAAGGCGCTGACGTGCTGGTACGGCGTTGTCGGCCTCACCACATGCGTTCCTCGCGTCCCGCCAGCTCCTTCGCACTCAGCCTGCGTTCGTCCCGCCGGATGTAGCAGCACCCAGCTGCTGGCTGGCCTACCACCTCGCCGATTCCAGATGTGCACGCGAGTGCGCGCACTGAATACGGCCCCATCCCCATCATGGGAACACCACATCATTGAAATGCGGTCTCGATGAACCCGAGCGCCCCCGAACAACGTTTGTCGGCTCTTACACTGCTTTCTGCACTCCGAACGCGATGCACTGTGCTCATGTGCACCTTGTACCAGTGTCTCCAAGCGCGAATCTGTTAGTTGACATTCTACTCAGCGTTGGTGTCAGCGACCGCTGTTCGTGACGTAGCAGTGCCATGTCTTAGCACCAGACTTGTTCAGCAATCGCTCGCGTACGAGTATGGCTCCCTTGTTTTGCGCGCATACCTCCAGGTATCAACACTTCTTTCATTCTTGCCTGTACTTTCCAGATAACTCATTCATCTAAAGCAGCCGACGCCTCAAAGCTGTCCGCCTGCCCACGCGCCAACCTTACTCACTTCACCCGCTGCCTAATCCGTCAACGTGCTTCCCGTCTCCGCTCTCCAATCTCACCATCTTCGGGAGCCTCGCAGGGATGAAACGTCTGCGTGCGAGACCGCTGCTTTCGGTACTCAGCGCGACCATAGTTCTCTCTCCTCAATCACGCTGCGTCTATTCACTGCGCACACAGACTCTTCATGCGACGGCTCCGCTTCACTTGCGTTCTTGTGTAGCATCTGTCCTTCATGTTGTTGACAGTTTCCTCCGCTATCGGTGTTTCTCGTACTGTCCTCAGCATGTAAGCTCATTTGATAATTGAATGCATGGTAGCTGCTTTGGCTTTGATTAGACGTACGAATGGAAGTGACTGGATGTCATGTCCCCCTATGTTCCTACGCGTGGCTCTTTCAACTTGTAGCGCAATATCTATCAACAGGCAACATAGTGCTCGACCATCGGACCCGAGCATGCAGGATGTGGTGGGCTACCGTGATAGGGACTACTCGCTAGGCATGGTCGGGAAGACTCGCTGAGTAAATCCTACATGGTTCCCCTGGTCGCTGCTCATGTGTAATTCACCAGGCATCCAGTTTTCTGATGTCGATTTACCCTGGCCGAGCAAGTGAGTGCCTGCCACGCCGATGGCATGTGTTCTTCTGGAGCGACAGGTGATCCTGAACGCGCATCAACAGCAGGAGCACGTTTTCAATGCTCAAAGCGCTCGCCATCTGACGGGCATTGATCATTGCGGTAAGCCTCAACCCTCTGTCGCGAGGGGCTGCTCACCCTACTCATTCCTGTGTGCTGTTGCTAAGATGAGCGGCTACCCTGCCTCCTACGCCTGCACTGTCTGTGAGCGCAATGTCCCTTTTGCGTGCTGGGACATGCACGTCACAGAACACCAGTACCACAAGCGGCGGTAGCGCTTTGCGAATATCATGGTGATTCGGCATCAACGTGGTATCAAGCTTCTTGATGGAGTGCATGCTTGAAGCGACTGTGATCAAGTTGCGGGAATGCAGGGGGCTGTTCCGACATGCTATAGATAAGGTACATACGACTTCGACACTTACGGCCGCACTGAAGCCTAATACATGTCTCTCTATACAGTCGCGTCAGCTCAATAGCTGGTTTAAGACATCAACCATCCATCGCTCCTTCCGTAAACCTCATGCCTGACACGTTGACAATAGTGATGGCCATAGACGTCATGGTCGCGCACTGCCAGCGCTCCGATATATCTCATCGAATTTCCATTGGTTCGCGGGATATGTCAATATGATGCAGGCAAAGTGCTCTTCAAGAACCAGTCGGAGGTTAAGTGAGTGCCCCGCTTACCTTTTGTGTGACGGAGTATATGGTACGCCAGTTCTACTACAACAGGATTTGCTGACAGGTGCTACATGACTATCATAGTTACTGGCGGAACATGCGACACAGTTCGCTCCCTTTACTGTGACCTCTCTGACTCCGGTGTCCCGAAGAAGGTCTCGACAACCGTGAAACACCTCAATCTGGTGCCTGTGAGGTCTGTATGGATTCTAGACAGCCCGTACGTCGCCCACGTTATCCGATATTAGCCATTCAGATGATTGGTGAAGAGCGACCTTACAATAGATGTCGTACTCTATCCGTTTCCAAACAGTGACTAATAAGCAGCCTCGACTGGTCGCAGCGAAGCAGTGCGCGATGTCCTGACGTCCTGACGCCCTGCAATCTTACATCGCTGGAACGAGGGATGTATGATGCGTCGGCAAACGCGTATTCTTTGGCAGACCTCGTATTGTACATGGCACTTTGCGCGATGTTTTGCCAACGCCCATCCGCGGTCCCCCAATGGGATCAATTGCAACGTGAGGTTGCCGCTACCATCATTTGTAATACCACTGCTTATTGTTCTTGCGTCGTGCATCCCCCGTTCGAAGTGGCCGTACCGACCACTTCATGTCCTCGAGGCTACCTGAGCTTCGGGAGATGATTCCAGACGGCATCTTAGCTGAACAAGCGAGCATCGTGACATAAGTTGTACATGTAAGTATAACAGGATTACTTTCAGACGTAAAACAGGTTCTCCTCAGGCACAGGAAGGGACACCGTGGAGCTGCCTCACTAATGGACGCATGGCTGTCCCCTCGTTCATATAACTTCTTCGCAAGCAGTCCGCCAAACCATCGTCCATCCCCGAGCTTGTCTCTTCCTGATTCGACTTCAATGCCACCGTATAGATCTATCCGCTCTGGCCGGGCTCATCGCTTCCACCCCGTGGATGAGGATCGTGCACGCGCGATTCTGATTGTGCGTCCACCATCTATTTGTCGCTCACGTTTATCGATACTCATCATGCGGAAGGTCCGTTCCTACATTCAATACTGGCACAACTGCGGTAATCCTACGTTTCTCATTATGTTTGAGGTATGTCGTCGTCTCTTCTCAGCCTTTCAGGAGGCCTACACACTCGATCTTGTCTTCACAGCTTCGCGATGTTATCAACGCACTTCGCCGCCGACGTTCATATTAAGTAGCGGCTATCGTCCCGTAAGGATCATTTGTACATTCAAGAACTGGACTACACTGATGATTGCTCACGCAAAGCAGTAGTCGGCCTCATGAACAGCGGAAGAGCATTACAAGGTAGCACAAGCTACCTAGAGTGATTTCTTTCATTTCTTCCAGTATTGCACTGCCTTTCCCTTGTTGTCTGATTGCTGTGTACAGCTATCGTTGTCCTCTGATGAATCGAGTTTACCAATCATACTTTCATTATTCCTTGTTCGCTTGCATAGATGAGGCTCATGTTTCCCACCCAGGTCGAGCTTTGCCTCTTGTCAGCCGCATTGAAGCGCCTTGTGAGGTTCGTGTACCAGACCAGCTTCAATGTGAGTCTTGAACTCATAAAGATGAAGAATGTGTAACGCAACATACACAAACAGGCATGGGATCTTGAATGCAGGAAGATTGATTGCGAGCACGATAGCAAACGCAATATAAGGCAAACATACAACGGATGGAATATGCCTAGGAGGAGAAACCGCTCCGCCGGCCACTACCCCCGTCACCAAATACGCCACCACCAAACCCGCTACCCCCATGGAATTGCGCGAAGAGTTCGGAGAGGTCCATCGGGCTCATACTGCCCATACCGCCCATACTGCCCATGTCTGACCCCATGCCGTCCTCATCCTCGCCCATGTTGTAGCGTTCTCTCTGCGCTGGGTCGGACAAGACAGAATGCGCCTCGACCACGAGCTTGAACTTCTCTTCGTCACCGCCCTTGAACAAGGCGTCAAATACGATCACTGCGATGAGACGTACCTTGTCTGGATGATGCTTTAGACTTTCTCCCCGGTACGCCTTCTTGATTTCGTGCTCAGTGCACTCTCTTGAGACACCTGTATGACCACGTCATTAGCGCCAGAGCCTAAGCATCATAAACGATAGACTTGCTGCGCTTGAGCGCCGCCTCCTCCCTCTTGAGCTCGCTGCGCAGAGTACGCATATCTGCGTCGTTTCCCTCCCTTAAACCCGGCCCGCTCAAGTGCAGCCTTTTAAGTCTGCGATTGCGGTATCGTGTCTTTCAAGGTGCAGGTGAACACGCGCGCGTGTGCGTAATGCCTTGAACGACTCTGGATTAAGCTGCAAGGACTCTTCCGTGTCCGCGAGAGCGTCCTGATGCTGTGATGTTGAATGGGGTAAGACCGCATTCTCAAAGTGCGTCATGGCGCTCAGATAACAACAGTTGCCTGCACTCCACCTCTCCGACCGCCTCCTCTCTCTCAATAAGTCCCGCCCGCCACCCGCCCCGATGTCCATGCCATGTTCTCTCATTGACGGTGACGCGTTGGGCAACTACTACGCATAGACAGGGCCTCCACCAAATGATCCCTTTGCCCCCCCTCCTCTCTCGGACGACACACGCCCAATCTCAGACAACCCGCGGCCCAGCTCACACCAGGAGTCCACAGCGGAATCTTTGCTGCGTTCGTTGTGCTTGTCTGCTCCTGGGCTTTCTCCGCTCAACCCTCACAGATCGCTCGCTGCTCGCCCCCGCACACGCTCCAGCAACGGTGCCCTCATGCGCCGCATCGCGTCCGACGACACCCAGGCTCTCGCTTCTCCTTTTCGCGGCTCTATGATTCTCTACAGCCTCGCTACCGGACATGACGACGCTGACATCCTCCCAGAGCCTCCACGCCTCTCAGACAACCACAAGTCGTCCTCCGGCGAGTTTGTCATTACCCTCTTTTACGACTCAAAGTATCCCGTAGGCAGCTCCACCCGTCAGAGTGCGTTCATCCCTTACGCGTTCGATCCCTGGGCCGATGCCAAAAACGAGCCTGAGGACGACGACTACCTCTACGCGCCTGGCTATGGCGATGACCATGCGTCCTACCGCGTGCCCTCCTGGCGCGGCCTTCTAAATGTCACTCTCCTCGTCTCCGTCATAACCACCCTCATCGCCCTCTTTATCTGCCACCCCGTTGTCAGCTTCTACCGTGGTGACTCTTACAATCGCGCCATCAACAGCAATGAGGCCGTCAATGGCACCTGCCAGGTTAAATCCATCGCAAAGGCATCCACGCTGTAAGTCTCTATTTATTCTTTCCCATTCGCTGACTACAACAGCGCCCAGCTTCGCTCTACGCGACGTCATCGACCCCGATACGCCGCAGGATGCACGCACGCGCACGGGTTTTGTAGGGCAGCCCTACGTCCTCGTCTTTTCCGACGAGTTCAACACTGACGGCCGTTCCTTCCCCGGTGACGACCCGTACTGGGAGGCCGCCGACCTCTGGTACGGTGCGACCAACGACCTTGAGTGGTATGCCCCAGAGCAGGTCACGACCACCGGTGGGGCGCTGCACATCACCCTCGAGCAGGCCGAACCAGACGCTGCAGACAGCCATACACTCGGATACCAGAGCGGTATGCTCCAGAGCTGGAACAAGTTCTGGTTCAGCGGCGGATATGTCGAGGTCGCCTTGACACTCCCGGGGCCGGACTCGGACACCCAGGGATACGTGAGTTGCTTGCCTTCACATGATCGACGGGTTCCTGATGCGCGTGTCTTTCTCTTGGGTCGCTTACGTCGTTTGCTCACCCTCACCGCATTCTACTGTCTAGATTATACTTTCACGTTTGTTGTTATTTCTCGTAACCTGTGCGTTCGCTTCTCGTCTCGATCGTTGCTCCCTTTGACCCACATACCACAGCCTCCCGCCATGGCATCCAGATTGACGACCGAGTCGCGCTCCTCACCCCGCCACAAACGTAACGCCGCCTCATTCCTGCTCTTGTCGTTCCCTGCTTCGCCGTCCCACATCCCCACATCTCCGTCTACTCCTCTCTGCAGTCCATCAGACCACCTCACAGTGCCTCCTCGATGCTCGGATCCCCGCCCACGTTCCCGCCTTTGCCGATCCTCCCGCCCGTGCCCGACCTGTCGCCCATCGCACTGAGCGCGCGGCTGCACGCGGTGGAGGGCAAAGACTAGGAGCGCACGGAGTCGCGCGGGGAAGACTACTTGGACAAGATGTCATATGGGCATGCTTCGGTCACGTCTGACCGCTCCAACGGCGCCGCTGGGGTCGGTGCGCAGCTGATGGACTGGCGCGCGAGTATCGCTGTGGAGGGATCAAAGCGCATGCAGCGGAACTACGAGTACAAGATCGCGACACTGCACTCACGCGTGGCGACACTGGAGCGGGAGGTCGAAGACGGTCGTGAGCGGGAGCAGAAATGGGTGGAGGGTGAGGCGTGGGTATGCGCCGTCGAGAAAGAGCTGCGAGATCTATGACAGGTGTGTGTGTATGGGGATGTACGTACGTCCGTTTATAACGTCAGCAGATGAAGGGGAAGATGGCAGCTATATTCTCGCTGCAGCAAGAGCTGGACAATTAACGGCAGGAACGGGCGCGGGAGAAGGAGGCGGAGGCGCTGCAGACGCGTGTGGACAATGACGAGTTGCGCATCTTGCCAGACCGCTGTGAAGAGCTCGAGGCAGGGCGTGCGGGCGGCGGCCAGGTGCGTCGCGCGCTCGCTTCCACGTTGAGCTTGGGCTGACCATCCAGCCCCTCAGGCTAAACCCGAGATCATTGATCACCCTCAAGAAGTATAAGCGCAAGTATGAGCAAGCCAAGATGGAGCTGCGGAGTGTCAAGGGTACGTCGTGATGATGCGCTCGAGGACACCATGCTAATGTCATCGTATCTACACATAGACATCACAGCTCTTCCTGCAGGTGCCCCGCGTGGATGACCAGCTGCAGGTCTCTTTGGACGCCTCGTCCACATCCATGTCACAGCCTTCGTGTCTGCCACCGACAGTCTCCATCAGCAAAACGTCAAGTTCTGGTTCGTACCTGATATCGCCTGATCGGCCTAAGCCGGCTGAGATCGATCTGAAATCACTGATTCACCTGGCCACGTTTCTAGCCCAGAGACCTTTCAGACGGTTCAGAGCGCTCAGACAGAGCACTGTGTATAACCAGCTAATGTGTAGAGTATATTGGCAATAGTCGGGAACAGGCTGTAGTGTATCATACAATACGATGTACATCTACTAGAACGCTATTTCGTGGGCATGATGATCCGCATACTTATTCACATAGAAGGCCGCAAAGGCGTCCAGCGAGTCTGTATGCTTAAATGTCGGCAGGAGACGACTCGTCCCACATACCCCAATCAAATGCGCTGCGCGAACGATGGCATCAAGATGGATGACACTAACAGACCGGCGACCATCCTCGTCGAAGTCTGGCTCAACAATCCACATCCCTGTGTCGTCATCTGGCTCCTGGCTCACAGGGGAGAACCATTCAACCAGCGCACAAGGGTATTTGACTTGCTCGTAAGTGAAGGAAAAGAAAAGGCGTACTCGTGCTGCAAGCAGCCCTCGAAATCCGTCTGCGTCATTGTTGTTCACAAAGACACAGTCATAGCGCCCGGGACCCGATCGCCATGAGGGGGTGGCGCGAATACGCTCGCGGCGCATGCCCGCAATACTGGAGAGGTCACTAGGAGCATAGAAGGTGGCGGAGGCAGAGTGGACGACGTAGACACGCCCAGTGTGGATTGGGCAGTCGGCCAGTGGGACGTCCTCAGCGTTCGGTGCGTTGGGGTCGTCCCGGTGGGTCTGTTCGAACAGGAAGCGGGAGACAAGCTCCTCCAGTGCCGGCTGCCCAATAGAGGCTCCCAGGCCTTCAAGCGTACGCGGGTATCCTTGTGCTACAAGGCTCGCATGAGTGAGGTATCACAGATCCAGAGAGGGGACGTACCTGCACGGTGTGCTAGATCAACGTATGCTAGCAGCTCTCGGTCCTCCACTGGCCCGGTAGCATCCCGCTTACGACTGGCAGCACGGCGTACACCATTCTGGCCCTCTCGCATGCCAGCCGCATTGGCCTGGTTGTCGTTGGTATGATCCTCGATGCCCGGGGGGTCGTGACTGTCCTCGTCATCGCTGCTTGACTCGTCATCAGAACTTGAGTCATCATCCGATGATTCGTCGTCGTTTGTTGACTCGCTGTCCGAATCTGAGTAGGATGCACGACGTTCAGCTCGGTCAGCTGTTGCAAATGTCAGTAAGCCCTTGAATCAAGAAAAAGAGCCCAGTACTCACCTGCAGAAGCCTCCAGTGTGGCTACGCGTTCTCTCTCATGCAAAGCCTCCGTCAGCACTGTCCCATGTAGCATGCCCCTCGCAGAGAAGTCCTCGCGCGCAGCCGATAACTTGTCGAGGCGTTGATTCGTGAGAAGCATCTGTCCGAGTGCTTCAAACCGGTTCGATCGGCGCCATGGCTCCTTGACAGCCTTTATATGTTTTGATTCGGTAATGGACGAGCAGAGGCCATTCGGGGCCCCGAACTTGCGGGAGTGCTGCAGGTAGTGATCGAGGGAGTGCTGCCGGGGTAAAGAGAACCCGTCAGAGCGTACTCCTGTTGTCTCGAAGATCTTGCGATAGTCGTGGAAGCGGCCCAGCGCATCCGACACCTCTCGTAGTGTGCGCTCTGTGAGAGTAGAGCGTCGGACTAGATAGCAGAACTCAAGGAATGCTGAGGATGTTCGCACTATGTCAGCGGGTACCAGACCTGC